ATTTTAGCCTGAATTCTGTCAGTTAGGAAGCATAGTTGCATTACATTTGAAGTACTGGGACCAGGTTTTGGGGCATTCTTGACCTCTCACTTCGTTCATCGTTCTGGCAATCCTTTAAGTCATAGTTTAGATCCTTGGTGATCTTATTGTTGACAAGAAATGTTGTTATCTCATGCAAGTTGGAAGACACAATCACATGATATTGCAAATATGTCTCGGTCCCTGCATCGGCCATTTAATTTTCCCTTCATCACCAATCCTACATTTGAAGTTTTAGTATATATATATAACAACAATTAGAAATTGTTTTTGTGTTACTCGGGCCCAATCCTAGAGTTTTGGTTTTAGTATTTATAAGTCCAAACATGTTTTATCTTACGTATCTTTAATCATATGTTAAAACTTCGTCTCTCTTTCATGATTGTTGTATTCATGGTTGTTGTTTTCTGATCTATTGGGATATTTCTTGCAGGAACCATACATACTTTTTTGTTATAACGGCGAGAAGCAAAAATATACGAAGCAAAACAACAATTATATAACTATCAATGTTATGCTGAAGAGATCGAAGCGAACAAGGAGAATAGCTTTGATAAGAAATCATTTGTTTGAGGTATCTAGTACTTTTGTTATTGGTTTTCTCGTGCATTATTCATATAATGTATATTATTACTTTAATGTTCTTATGTATAACGTTAATCATTTGACATTCATGTTACGAGTTCTTAAATTTATATTCATTTTACGGTTAAATGATAAACATAATCATCAACAAAAGTTGTCTTAATGGTTTTGATAATTTAATTTCACCATATGTTATTTTATGGTGACGGTTTTCAATAACGTCACAATATTGCGTTTTTCGGTGATGATTTTGAAAAATAAACATTACCATATGCCATATTACGGTGAAGGTGTCGAAAATAAACGTCATTGTATTTCATACTCCGGTGACGGTTTTGAATAATAAACGTCACTGTATGTCATGCTATGATGACGGATTTAAATAATAAATGTCACCACATGTCATGCTATGATGACGATTTTAAAGAATAAACATCATCATATGTCATGCTTCGATGATGGTTTGGAATAATAAATGTCATCGTAATTCATGCTACCGTGACAATTTTGAAAAATAAACAACAACGTTTGCATGCTACGGTGATCATTTGAATAATAAACTTCATTGTATGTCAACCAAAGATGACGATTTTGAAAAATAAGTGTTAACACATGTCATGCTTCGACGACGGTTTTGTATAATAAATGTCACCATATGTCATGGTACGATGATGGTTTTGAATAATACACATCRCTGTAAGTCRTGTTATGGTGACACTTTTAAGAAAATGTCACCATATGTCATGTTAAGCTGACGACTTCAATTAATAAATATCAACTTACTTTGTGCTATGGTGACTTTGTTAAATAAACATCACGGATGTCATGCCATAGCGACAATTTTAAAAATTAAGCGTCATTGAATGTCGTGCTATGGTGAGGTTTTGAAAAATAAACATGACCGAATTTCGTGTTATGGTGACGATTTTGAAAATTGAATGTCACCATATGTCGTGATACAGTGACGGTTTTGAAAAATAAACGTCACCGTATGTCATGATATAGTGATAGTTTTTATAAAAAAATGTCACATGTATCATGCTACGATGACCATTTTAAATAATAAACATCATTGTATGTAATGGTATTCTAACAGTTTTGACAAATAAATATCACCGTATCTTATGTTACAACGACGGTTTTTGAATATAAACATTAAGGTATGTCTTGCACGCTAACAGTCTTAAATAATAAACGTCATATATTTGAAGGTATAATGACGATTTTGAACGTATGTAATGGTATGGTGACAATTTTGAAAAATAAGTGTCACCATATTTCATGCTACGGTAAAGGTTTTAGGACAAAATACAATTTTCTTATACACCATACGTGACGGTTTTAGCCTTAACGATAATGGCTTTTGTTGTATTTTTGTAACGTCTTTTAAACGTAACCAAAAGGGTATCAAAAGTGATGGCAACTACAGTGACGATTTTTATGTCCACAAAAACCGTTCCATATACCCACGGTAATACTTTTTAACCGTCATTTAAGCTCATTTTTGTACCAATGCTTTTTCGTATTGAAATTTAAATTTAGGCCCATTCCCTTGAACATTGCCTCTTAGCTTTTCTGGGGTTAGACTGAAAAACAAAAACAAAAGGTTATCTTTTCCCATAAGCAAATCTACAAAAACTGGTGTGTGAATGGTGCTAGGGAGTTGGAGGCGGTAAGTATTTGGGTCCTTCTCAATGATCTCCATACAGGGCCTATTTTTCGAGCCCTAGTTCGCTGTATTTGTGTGTTGGAAACCCATCCTTTGTGTCACTAGTGCCCTAAACATGTTTTGCGATAACCTGTTACTGCCAGTTTATACAATATCTTTAACAAATTTCACCTGTCGTACCCTAGCTTTTAGCCGAACTAGCATATAGAACCTATAAATGAGAACATAATGCATTATTGCATGTCATATCCATATTTCTTCTCAAGGGGACTTGATCCAAAACACATGCAACACTGAATGTGTTGCATTTTTATCCTTTAATGGTACTTGGTAGAACATCGGATAATGGTGTCTTATTATATATATATATATATATATATATATATATGTGTGTGTGTGTGTGTGTGTGTGTGAGATACCTCATTTCACACCTGCGAGAGACTGAGTGGAACTCTTACAATTCAAATGTTTAATTTACTATTAAATTGAACTCCAAAATCTACTAGAAATTATACAACCAATAGAGTTGTTGACTGTAAACATCGTAACATTATTGTGATATCATTCAACGATTAATTTGATGGATAAGCTTCATCCATGAGGGACCATGGTGTTGAGTAGAAGCTGTAACTGTAATAGGTTGGAAGACAAAACCATGTGATGTTGCTTTTTCTCTACAACCACACATCACCATCTCTCATCTACCTCTCCTTAAATCAATTGGTTATATAAACCATTCCATATGCAGAATACAACCACAACTCACTCTGAAATCCAGCACAACATATCTCACCAATATTTAAGTTGAGCATTTTCTTCCTTCATCGGCCTTTAGAACGCAACAAACTCTGCCCTCCTTGGAAAAATGGCTATTCTTATGCCTCGGATCATTCAAGCAAAACAGATTCTCCGACGATCGTTGTCAAATAGAAGCAACAATACATACTTGGCCATCCCAAAAGGTTATTTTGCCGTTTATGTTGGGGAGCAAGAGAAGAAGAGATTTGTGGTTCCAATTTCATTGTTAAGCCAACCTGCATTTCAAGAATTATTATGTCAGGCAGAGGAAGAGTTTGGGTACAACCATCCCATGGGAGGCCTCACAATTCCATGCAGCAAAGACATATTCACTAACCTTGCTTCTCGTTTGGGGGTATTATGACTTCCACATGGCAGTTTTAAATTTCTACCACGGTTTTGTAAAGAACTAACTACTAGGACCTTTTGGAGTTTGTAAGACTTGTGGAGACATTTCTCCCAAATTTATGAAATCTCATTTAGGAATTATTTATTCACTTTGTATTATGAGCTAAGACATAAATATCAAACCGATTTAACATTCTACTAAATTTGTGCTGAGATCTTTTCTCCCAATGATGAATGCCCTTAGACAGATAAAAGAATCTCATACATTACCACTCGAACATCCCTAAGCAGCCGTGATATATGAATTAAACAATTGGCTATACGAGATCGGACCATAAATACTAGGTGTCGAATAAAGACTCGCAACTCATGATAGGTTTTTTCCCTTATATTCATGTCTACCATTGAAGTAAATGTGCCACGAGAAAAGTTACAAATGGTTTTCTGAGCTGTAACAGGAATGACAGCAGAGAAATATTTATATTCTGATTCTGGATGCCAAAGCAGTTCCCGTATATCTGCAGCTATTTGCATGTGACCTAGAAATTTTATACTATACTAAACTGAACGTATCACTGAAAAATATGTTGGTAGCAGTCTGCATATCATGAGATCATTGAAGGAGTTCCACTTGTCTAAATTCATTTTAAAATTGTCATATTTATTGATCTTTTCCATGTAGCAAAAACGTATCTACTGATTTTTCATATTTGCATAAAACTTGTCAATTATGCAAGACGTTACTCTTGTTTCAATTCTTTTCTCTAGCGTCTTTCATTAACCAAAATGTCTTCGATGTTTCGATGCTTTTTTTCAGTATTCTATATGTGAGTTAAGATTCAAATCTTTTCCATGTTACCATTCCTTAATTTTACTCATGATACTTTTGTATCTCAGGACTACTTTAAGAAGAAAATTAACTGCAGTAGTAAGACAACTTATATAGGTTCTGGGTTAATAAGTAGTTGGCCATACTGTCTCTTTAATATACCAATAAAACCTTTGGCCATAAACTTCAATTAGACAAAACCATGTGATTTATGCATTCATAGTGGCTTGCACAATCATTCCCATCAATTATATTTATATACATCACACGTCTTTGGGACACACACACACACACACATATATATATATATATATATGTTATAAGACAACTACAGAGCTTTTAGCTTGAATTTTCTGTCTGTTAGGATACATAGCCACATTTCATTTAAAGTACATGGGACCATGGTGTTGGGAGTATCCTTGACGCCTTACTTTTTTCATAATTCTGGCCATACAAGTTCTCTCTATGTCTAATCCTATTTTGTGTCCTAGCGTAGATTTAAGTTGTGATTAATTGATACCATCTGTGATCKTATTGTTGACGATAAATGTTGTTCTATCATGCAAGTTGGAAGACACAACCACATGGTCTTGCAATTATATCTCCATCTGTCATTTAATGTCCCTTTTATCAACAAAGGTACCTTTGAAGCTTCAAAAAATCAATATATAAAGCATACAATAGGCAAAGCACCAAAATAACTCCATATCTAAACCCTCCACAACATCTTTCATTAAGAAAAAAAACAGTTTCAAATCCTTTTACCTCCTTTTTCAACATTAGGAAAATGGCTATTCGTATTCCTCGGATCATCCAAGCAAAACAAGTTCTTCGACGATCTTTGTCAAATGGAACCCATACACCAACAACTATGGATGTACCAAAAGGGTATTTCACAGTTTATGTTGGAGAGGAGCAGGACAAGAAGAGGTTTGTGATACCTGTATCTTTGTTACGCCAACCATCAATTCAATACTTGCTACGTCAAGCAGAGGAAGAGTTTGGTTATGACCATCCAACGGGTGGGCTCACTATCCCGTGTAGTGAAGCCATATTCGCTGATCTAGTTTATCGCCTTGGCGTATTTTSATCACGCTTATCGCCTCGGCTCACAATCCCATGTAGTGAAGACGCATTTTTGTAAAGCACTATCAGTAACCATATACAACTTGTGAGATAGAGTCACCTGTCCATCCCAGTTGTATGAAATTAGAATTTAGAGTTATTTTGACCCTGTTGTATTCTATTTAGCGATATGGCGTTGGTCGTAATGACAAATGAATTAAATTCACCTTATAACGAATTTGGCGAGGAGGATTTACCTCACCTCAAAGTCCCTCCTTAGACCTATGAAAGTATCTCATATATTACTTTCCTTTGACCAAATTCCAAATCCTATGTTTGGTTAACATAATGAAAATGTAGGAATCCTTTGAATTCAATTAAATTCCACGAATTAAAGAATTTATTATTCCTTGCAATAAGTGAAGAAATTGAATTTCATCTCTTTGCATCCAATTTAGCCAACACCGCCCACCCTACCCCAACCACGATCATGTTTCCACTCTCATCGTCCCTCCACCCCTAACCCCCCACCACCACACCACTATTGTTGTCATCACAATCGCTACTTACCCTACCCAACCCCAATCCACCACTGACTACCATATACCACCATATGCCACTATTGTCCTTATCACAACTACCACCCCCCACCTAAAACCACCTTGCCCGACTCCTCCATCTGACCACCATGCCACTACTGTCACCGTCACAGCCAACCCCACTCCCAACCCCATCCCACCCCACCGACCACGATGCCATGGGTGTCGTCGTCACAGCTACCACCCCACCCCCAACCCTCCCCACCCCTACCTCACTGACCACCTTACCATTATTATCATAATCACATATACCACCACGGCCCCTCTACCTAAACCACCATGCCATTATTGTCGTTGTTACAACAACTACCTCCACCCACCTCGACATGACCCACGCCATCGAGGTGAGGGAGGGGTGGGTTATGGTATATCTCCACCCTTACATCACCACCCTCACCCGAGTGCTTGTTGGGGCTGGGCGAGATTGGTAGAGGGCACCAGCCTGCCTCATGCCACCCATCCGACCCCACTGTTGCTAGATTTATACGAAGATAAACCTCTCAGACTTTTAGCAAATGGATACTCGTGTAAGTATACACTTGTCAATCTACTGTCATCTAAAACAAGTAATAAAAACAGTAAGATACCGAGTATCGATCCATAGGGACAGGAAAATCGAAACTCCCTTAAGTGAAATAAAAAGACAATTTCCCATGGTGAAATAGAATAAATCTTTTTGGTTTGTTGAATTATAACTATTGATGCGAATAATTGATTAATAAGAAAGCAAAGGGTCTAAGGATCAATTTAAGATTTTTAAGAAAATAAATGAAATAGAATTTTGTAATTAATAACTCATCATTATCCAACCATCAGCCTATGTAAGATACTCTCTCGAGGTTGAGAACGACATGTATCTACGGACCGATTCTAATGTTTCCAAAATAAAACCAATTCTAGCAATGGGACAATCTATACCTTATATAAGTTGTAAGGAATGAAAACAAGTCCACTTGGTTCTAAGTAACTCTATCGAGTATACCTCCATATTGTTCAAGTTGATGCGTTCAGGATGGCTTATCTTTAAAGTAAGCAGAAAAAAACTGAACAGTGATGGAGAACACCTACTAAATTGATGTTTATCATCCATCGATCACTATTGTTGTTGTCATAGCTACCACCCCAAAGGTTTAGGCGGGGTGGGGTTTGGGGCCGTGATAAGGGTATGGTGGTAGTTATAATGACGATAGTAGTAGCATAATATTGGTGATGGGTGGTGGTAAGGAGGGGTGGGGAGGGGCCATGATGAGGATGCTAGTTGTGGCAACATCCATTAACTCAAGAATTGAGAGATTACAAATAAATGAGAAACAACAGTAAATCTAAAATCTAAACTAAAAGATTAAAAAAATGAAGAACGCGAAAAACAAAATCCAAAGAAAACTATATAAAATATCTATCAAAACCTAGATAAAACCACAAAGATGTCAAGTAATATGAATATCCCCGAGGAAAATTAACAAAAAATCAAATAAAAACTATATGCAAACGGCAAAACACGACGAAAAATGCAATTATAAACTATTATGAATGCATGCAGAAAAGGCAATTAACAAGAACATAATCTATTTCTAACTACAAAATCAAACCGGAAAGAGATATGTATAATTATGTACTTGAAAAAAGAAGTAGAAAAAAGAATAATTTGGTCCATCTTTGTAGCTAATTATCTTGATGTCGATTTGTGTTTTCTTTATCGGGCTTTGCATGGTCATTCAAGATTCGTAAGCGATGTACACAAAAAGGTGGTGTGTTTTCATGCGGTACGGAGGTGGTGGTGAGCCTCTAACTTTATCACCTCATCATTATGTAATAAAAAATTTAAGCATTTACCTTGAATTTGTGTGCTCATAGACAACAATTTGTATGCTTCGAACAACAGCTTATTGGGAGTTTACGAGCAAGGCGGACCTATGATTTAAAAACCGGAAACTCGGTTAAAGGTCGAAAAAGTTTATTGACTAGGCTAAATTTTCTTGTTTTACTCTTTATCTTACATAGTTTGCCCCCATTCCCGTATGCTATTCTCCCCAGTCTCATCTGATGAAACCAAAGATTCCCCTACCCCCGATCTCACTAGATTATATATTGTGGTTTTCGGTTGCTTCTATATAGTGTTTTATTCTATAGTTTTCTGATTTCTGTATATATTATTTTCCCTAATTTTTCAGCTTTCAATTTCTATATGTTTTTGTTCGAATTGTTTTTAATTTATTCCTATCTTTTATTTTATTTTTCTTTTTACGGTTCTATAATTTCAGTTTGAGTAAATTACGTCTGTATGGTTATATGAAAATTTGGATTGGGTCCCTCAAACAAAATGAGAAGTCCAGAAATCATACAAAAATGATATGATCTTCAAGATTCAAGATGAACATAAAAGTAGAGAAAATATCATCAAAGAATGATTAGATTGAGAGAGAGAATTACAGCTGATAATCTTGTTTACAAATCTGCTAATGACTTCGTTAATGACAATTACAAAGGGAAATGCTATTTATACTAGGAAATAGTAAACTACACTATTACAAAATAAAGTTATTCTAAGGAAAAACTTGAATACAACTTTAACGCTCTAACTTGAACCCAATATTCTCCCCCTTTGGATTCAAGTTTGGACTCTTGTGAATTTCGTTTTGCGCAGTCCAAGTATCTTCTCCAACCTTCTTAGAGCATTCCTATATTGAATCTTTTCCTCGAGCAAGTTTATAGCATTTACCAGCAAGTATCTTTCCTTGGAGCTCATCCGTTTAGACTCAGCAGCTTTATCATTCATCACCCTCTTCAAGTCAAGTGCCCTTCTCACTAATTTGATCATACCGTCAGAATATTTATTTAACTCGCTAAACCTCATGAACTTTTTAACTTGAAGTTGAGCAAAGTATACGACCCCGAACTTTGGACTTTCAAGCACCATATACACTGGATAGCCTTCAATGTCTTCTAGATCTTGATTTGGTCTTTTAAGATTGATGATTCGYTGATTGTCTTCAAGACCCATCTGTACATCAATGACCATTGCCAGTTTCACATGACACCGTATAAACCTCTTGATTGCTTCAAGAGCAACCAATTCTCCTTCTTTTCTGATTGTCATGTTTTTGAGTTCAAAATACATATACTCAAGATCATCCAAGTATAAGTTCGAGAAGTCTGCTTCGCTAAATCTCCAAATCTGACCATCCTGTCTGGTAACAATAAAGACAGGATACCAGATTCTCAACAACTTCTGAGCATCTATTTGTTCGATCCTCACAATCTGATGCTTTGTACGAACTTCACTAATTGGTTGGCACTTAGCTTTTAGAAGATGACGGTATTCAGTACGATATTCTCTTGTCTGCTTATGAATACCAAGAACTCTGTCACCGCTTAGAATTTTTCTGTGACGGATGAAGATTCCAAAGTAGATATCTTCAAGGTATGGCTCTCGGATTCTTTCACGATCATAACCAGGAAAATTAGCTCTAATGTGAAATGGCACATAGTCTCTTGTGAAGATTTCAGTTGGATCAACATGTTCTCTTTGAGCTGGAATGTCTGGAACATCAGATAAGACTGCAGTGGAAGATTCTGGAGCAGACTGACGTTCTTCTTAAATAGGAAACACTGGATCTTCATCATCTATATCGGCTTCAAAGTCAAAATAGATCTCAGTCGATTTGTCTATATTGTCAATGTCTTCTCCAAAGTCTTGCTCTCCACCTAGAGTTTTAGAGAACGCTTCATTGAAACCAACATTGGCAAACAAGTCCAATAGCATCCTTGTTCCTACAGTGGAGTCCGCCGGCTTTTCAACCATTGGCTCGATCGTAGGACTTATCTCCAAATCTTCATCAACAACTTCAACAACCTCAATTGTTCTTTCCCGAACTGATTTTGGGTCAGAAGCTTCAGCAGTAACRTCTTGAGTTGATGGCTCTTCACCAACCCTTGCACCTTGTTCAGAAGTCTCGGGCAATCTCTGTCTCTTTCTCTCCCCCTCATGACTATCTGGATCATCCTGATCGTCATGCCTTCTTTTGAGAGATATGGCCTGAGACCTGCAGGTTTCTTCTAATGTAAACACCCGTTCGGCTAGGGCATCCATTGAACTTTTAAGATCTTGGGTATTAGATGTGATTAACTTGCTAACTTTAGAGAAGCTAGAAGTAACCACATCTTGAAAATCCAAAAACTCTGAGGCTCTAACATAAGGGTTTACATCTAATTGTTGACGTAAGAGACCAACCAAATATGCATCCTCAGCATCTGGGTTCTGAAATGCCATCAACTTGGCGTACAGCAACGATTTCAGCTCATCCACCGATTGATCTGGTATAGATGGTTCAGGAACATGCGGTGGTGATGGCACAGACGGTGGCTCTTCTTCTACAACCTCTTTACCCTTCAAAAGTCTTTTGAGACTTGCCATTTGCGCATCCATATTGTCTTGAACAGCCTTTAGGGCGCCGTCCAGATATTCCCTTGACACAAAGTCGGGTAAAGTAACACCTGGTTCACTTAGAATACCAGTTGTAACAACAGTTGAATAAACTGTTGTGCCTACGTTCAATGTTGGCATAATATTAGCATTGGTAGGACTTCCG